CTTCACTCCGGGCAGGGAGCACCCCACCCAGTGTGCGGCCCACCCTCACGTGCACGCCCGCCCGCCCACTCCCCAACCCAGCCCCACCCCCACGCACCACCCCGCCCCGGCGAGCTGCTGCCTAATCCTCTCACGTTCTCCTCTCTCCTCTCCCTCTCTCCCTCTCTCCCTCGCCCCTTTCTCTCTCTCCCTCTCTCTTCCTCTTCCCTCTCTCCTCTCCCCCTCTCTCCCTCTCTCCCTCTCTCTCCCCTCTCTCTCCCTCTCCCTTTCTCTCTCTCTCCCTCTCTCTTCCTCTCCCTCTCTCCCTCTCTCCTCTCCCTCTCTCCCTCTCTCTCCCTCTCCCTCTCTCCCTCTCTCTCCCTCTCTCTTCCTCTCCCTCTCTCCCTCTCTCCCTCTCCCTTTCTCTCTCTCTCCCTCTCTCTTCCTCTCCCTCTCTCCCTCTCTCCCTCTCCCTTTCTCTCTCTCCCTCTCTCTTCCTCTCCCTCTCTCCCTCTCTCTCCCTCTCCCTCTCTCCCTCTCTCCCTTTCTCTCTCTCCCTCTCTCTTCCTCTCCTCTCTCCCTCTCTCTCCCTCTCCCGCTCTCCCTCTCCCTCTCTCTCTCTCCCTCTCTCTCCCTCTCCCTCTCTCCCTCTCTCTCCCTCTCTCCCTCTCCCTTTCTCTCTCTCCCTTTCTCTCTCTCCCTCTCTCTTCCTCTCTCTCTCTCCCTCTCTCTCCCTCTCCCTCCCTCTCTCTCTCTCCCTCTCTCTTGCTCTCCCTCTCTCCCTCTCTCTCTCTCCCTCTCTCTCTCTCCCTCTCTCTCCCTCTCCTCTCTCCCTCTCCCTCCCTCTCTCCTCTCTCTCCCTCTCCTTCCGCTCCCCTCTCTCCCTCGCCCTCCTCTTCTCTCTCTCCTCTCCCTCTCTCCCTCTCCCGTTCTCTCTCTCCCTCTCTCTTCCTCTCTCCCTCTCCTCCTCTCTTTCCATCGCCCGCTCTCCTCCTCCCTCTCTCTCCCTTTCTCTCGCTCCCTCTCCCTCTTTCCTCTTCCCTCTCTTCCGCTTCTCTCCTCTCTTCCGCTCTCCCTCTCCCTCTCTCTCCACCCCCCTCACACACACACACACACACACACACACACACACTCTGATGCCTTGTTATCCTGGTCACACCGGGAAGACGCCAGGCCACAATCCCTGGATCTAGGCTGCGAGTGTGCCCTCGGGGCTGACGTCACAAGCTAATCCCATGGCAGGGCTCAGCTCACAATGTATTTTCTTAACGTTCATCTGTTCTTTCTTTCTTTTAAACATGTTTTTATTGACTTCAGAGAGGAAGGGAGAGGGAGAGAGATAGAAACGTCAATGGTGAGAGAGATATGGATCGGCTGCCTCCTGCACGCCCCACACTGGGAATCGAGCCCGATGTGCCCTGACCGGGAATCGAACCCTAACCTCCTGGTTCGTAGGTCGGCACTCAACCCCTGAGCCACGCCTGCCGGGCTGATCTGCTCTTTAAAAGGGCCCTGCCGGAGGGGTCCTTTGGGGCTGGGCCCCTTCAGTCCAGGGCAGAACCCGCTGGGGAGCGGGAGCGGCCCAGCCAGCAGGCTAATGCCCTAAGAGCCGGAAGGCAGGCCGGTCCCGCAGGCAGGCCTTGCGTCTGGCCCGGGCCGCGGGGGAGAACCGGAGAGCTGGGCTCGGTGCGCGGAGACCCCCGGGCGGGCGCTGACACCGAGGCCGGAGAACGGGCACCTGTCTGACCGGCCGCCACTGCCCTTCGGAGCCGCGTGGACACGGAGGCTGGAGGGCCGGGCGGTGTCTCGGCTGCGAGCGAGCGGCCGGTGCTGCTCGGCGTGTCTGTGTGAGGCCGCGAGCTCACCCCTCCCGGAGCCTCATTCCCACACCCAGCGGGGGGGCAGGGGGAGCCCCACTCCGCGCTGCCCCTCCCCCCCTCAGCCCCAGGAGGCCCGGGCCAGAGCCAGCAGCACAGCCCTCGCTCCCCAAACCCAGGCCGCTCCTCCGGGTGGCGTGTGGTGCGATGAGGGGTGTGATGTCCTCATAACCACAGGACAGCTTCCAGTCGCTGCGCATCCTGAGCCCGTGCAGGGGGCAGGGCCGGGGAGAAACGGGGCCCCTCCCTGAGGGCGGCCCCGGGGTCCCCGAGAATTGCATGGGCATGAGGTTCTGCCCTTCCCCGTCCCCGTTGGGCTGCACTGCCCACCGCCCCCTCACCCTCCTGCCCCTCTCCCTCCTCCCCCTCGCCCACCTCCCCCTCCCCTCCGCGCACAAACCAAGCCTGGTACTCGCTCCGGTGTTCCAGCGTCGGCTTGCCAGCCAGCTCGCCATCTGTTGGAGTGAGTTGTGCCCGAGCCGCACTGTGAGGGGAGGGGCGTGCGAGGGGGACATGGGAGCTGCCGAGCAGACAGAATGGGGCGCACCGGTGGGGAGGCACCAGGCCGTCCCCCGCCCCCCCCCAACCCCCTCGTCCTGCCAACGCCCCGGGCCTGAGAGAGGTCTCAGCTCCCGCCCTTTCTGTGCTGCTCAGAAGCCGGCTCTGGGGGTCCTGTCCAGTCAGACCAGCGACCCCCTTATGTTTATTTTTGGAAACGGGGTTTTTGCTGACATCAGGCCAGGCTTTGGCCACATGGAGAAATCTGGGGTGACCACCGGGCAGCGGCATCCGAATGCAATCTGTTCCGTGCAGCCTCCTCCGGGCTGGCCCTGAGGCTCCCGTCCCACGGGAGCGAGGGGAGGGTCCTTCCGAGGGGCGGGGACACACTCAGCCCTGGTTGCCACGAAACGGGCTCAGGCTGCACCGTCCACGTCCCCGCACAGCACCGCACAGAGCCCAGCGCCTCCGGAGCCTGGGAGCCGAGCGTCCCGGCTGCCCAGCCCCAGGGCGCGAAGCACCAGGCGGGGAGTGCCCGCGGGGAGAACGGGGGGCTGGGACCTGCTCGCTGGGCGGAGACACTGCTGTGCTTTCCGGATCCTCGCAGCTCAGCCGTCCCAGGACTCAATGTGACAAAGCCGAGCAGCTGTCTGCGGGGGTCTGGACGGAAAGCCTTGGTGTGCAGGGTTCCCGGCGGTGATTGGCTGCTGGCCTCGTCTCGCCGGCTCTCGCTCTTCCCCGCTCTCTCCTTATAGGGAATTTCTGCTCCCTCGCCTTCGCGGCTCCCGGGCCGGGCCGGGAGGATGCGGAGATCTGGAGGGAGGTGTTAGGCACTCGGGTTTGGGAGTCAGTTGAGCCGCGTCTGGCCGCCGGCCGGCCCTCAGCCGGACGCGGTTCCCTGCACACCGTCCCCCCCCCCCCGCCTCCTCCAGATCTCCGCATTGGGGTCGCCGAGGGGCTGGGGTGAGGCGTGACGGTAGGGCCGTGCCTGGGCCTGGCACACGCGGGGATGTTCACCGGGAGACAGGAGCCTGGTGGAAGCGGACGGTGCAGCTACTATGAGTCAGACCAGCCACCACTGACTCAGCCACCGGCTCGGAAGGACGGAGAGGCCCGGGGCAGACACGGCTCTGCCCACTCGGCTGGAGAGTGAGGTGCTGCCTGGCCTGTGAGCAGGAAACTCCAGGGCCGAGGGGGCCTGGATAACCCCGTAGTTAGTGGCCTCACAAGGGGACCCGGAAGGGCAGGGAGCCAGCCAGAGGCTGGCGTCTGCGTTGGGTTTGCGAGCACGCGCCCTCTGGGCCTGGTGGTGCGGCTCCCAGCTGCCACCCTCCGCTCTGCGCCCTCGGCCTGGCCTCAGTATTCCCGGCTTCAGAATGGGCGCAGCAGCAGGAGTCCGAGGAGTTTGTCAGAGGGACGGGCGGGGGGGTGATGAGGGGGCATTGGTGAACACACTCACTGTGCCGCCTGGTACCTCATGCTGCACATATTCTCGCTCAGAGCCTCTTCAACCGTTTCTTAAAAAATGGTTTTATTGATTTCAGAGGGAGAGGGAGAGGGAGAGGGAGAGGGAGATAGAAGCATCCATGAAGAGAGAGAATCATGGAACAGCTGCCTCCTGCATGCCCCCACTGGATGGAGCCCACCACCCAGGCCTGTGCCCTGCCCTGACCGGGATCGAACCGAGACCTCCTGGCTCATGGGTCGGCGCTCAATCACTGAGCCACCCAGCCAGGAGAGAGCCTTTTAAGTTCCAGAGCTTTCTTGGTCCAGGTTCCTGTGGCTGCAGCCTCCGGGTGTCTGCAGGGCAAGGGTCTCCCACGGTGTCCGGGGTCACCCACTCCTGGGGGAGGAAGGACCTCGCGTTAAAACCCTCTCCCTGGCACCAGTCCACATGCGCTTCCCTGCAACTCCGGGCATTGGTGCCAACTCTGGGCTCTGTGGTCCCGGAGACCAGGCCTGCTTCCCTCCCCGTGGATGTCCGAGTGGTCCCCAGGCAGCATCCCATGCCGGCCCAGAGCGAACAAGCTCTCCTCCTCTGCCCGCTCTGGGGTTGCCCACCACGCGAACGGGGCGCCATGACAGAGGCGGGCACCTGGGGAGCCCGCTGGTGTGCCAGGCCCCTGGGCGTGGATGTCACCCTCCGACCACCCCGACGGGCTCTGCTGTGCCCATTGGGCACTCCGGGTGAGGGCCCGGCCCGGGTGGCCCCGTGGCTCAGCAGCCGCAGCTTCAGCCGGGCTCCGAACCCAGCCCTGGCACGCAGCGCAGGGAGGCGGCGAGGAGCTGGACGCGGGCGGGGCCCCGGGTTGGGAGGGGGTCCCCGCAGCCTGGGACCCGCTGGGCGCGGCGTCAGCACCAGGGACAGCTCCGGGCCGCGCGGAGCCCCCGACCATGGCGGCGCGCGGGGCAGCGGTGCGCGCTCCCGACCAGCCTGGCGCGCGCCTCCCGCCTCCCGCCTGCGCGCCCCGCGGGGACCGGCTCCGCCGAGCCGCTCGCAGGGAGCCTGCCCGGTCCGAGCCGCGGGCGCAGCAGCGCTGGCAGGGCTCCCGCTGGGCACGCACCGTCCCCCGCCGCCTCCGGGACCTCCCGGCGCCCCCTCGCCCGTCCGAGCGCCCGCAGCCGCGCCGCCAGCACCGGCCGGGCAGGAGCCGCCGCTCCTCGCCGCTCGCAGCCCGGGCTCCCGGCTGGGACCGAGCCCGGCCGCCCGGTCAGGGGCACCCGAGTCCTCCGGGGGCAGCGCCGTTCCCATGGTGTGAGGTAAGGGCCGGGGGTGCGGGGCAGGGGTGCAGGCGGGCAGCCGGGTCGGTGCCCACCTCGCCCGGAGAGCTCAGGGCTGCCCGGCCGGCGTCCCAGGTCCCAGCGCGGGCTCTCCCGGTGCCCGCTGTGCAGGAGGCTGGCACAGAGACCCAGGTGGGCAGCGAGGACCTGGGGGCGAGGCCGGGCACCCACTGTGCCAGGGGACCCTGGTCGTTCCGGTCGCCTGGTGCAGGGACGGGGGGAGGGAAAGTTTCCCCGAGAAGCGAGCCCCCTCCTCTGCTGCCAGGAGCCGAGACCGCCCGGGTGCCTTCTCGGAGGGGGAGCCCAGAGGGAGGGTGCCGATGAGGGAGCAGGTGCGGGAAGTTTGGTCACCGGTCCAAGGTCACGCAGCCAGCAAGTGGCAGAGCTGGCAGCACCCTCTGCCCCCTCCTCCGCCCCCCTCCCGCCCACACATGTCTGAGCTGAGGCTGCCAGCGGGAGCACCAGGCTGCCGTTTGGAACGAGACTCCAGACACCAGAAACCCGGGACACAGGTCCCTCCCCACTCCCCCCCTTGGTGGCCGCAGTCCAAGGCCAGGGCCCACGTGGACTGCCCGTGTGGACCTGCCCGTGTGCCTGGCTGCATCTCGAGGGGCAGGTTCGCTGACCCTCCTGGAGGGTCGGGGTGTCCCGGGGGTCTCAGCAGTGATCCCGTGGGTGTCGCTCAGGAGAGCCAGAGGGGCCGCCCCCCCACCCCCCACCCCCCGCTGCCCCCGTCAGGCCAGGCTCGTGGGGTGCCAGGCCCCATGAGAACCTCCAGCCTCCGGAAAGTTGGGACCGGCCGGGGGAGCACAGCCGCCCGCCTCCCGTACTCCGCCCCGGGTGCTGAGGGGAGCCCCGGCGACCAGGTGCCCTCCTACCTGAGCAGATGTCCTCCGAGGAGGGAGTCTCTGCCCCGCAGGCCCGCCCTGAGCTCTGACCGCGCGGTGCCGGGACCGCGGAGAAGCCCTCGCTCCCGGGGCCCAGCAGCTTGGGGTCTGTGCGTCCCGCGTCCGGCCAGGGCCTGCGGGCACCTGGGTGCCGGGGAGGAAGAGCCAGGTGTCCCCCTGGCCCCGAGGCTGCTGAGTGTCCTCAGGCAGATCGGTGAGGGCACTCCCCTGGGAAATGGCTTCCTGGAGGGTCGGGGGTCTGGGAAGGACCCCAGGATCCAGCCTCCGTGCCCCCGGGTGCACAGGGAGAGGGTGGGGGAGCTTGGAGCCGCTGGCCTCCCCGGAGCAGCTGACTCTGCCTCTCCGCTGGGGAGGGGACGCTGCAGGCCCCAGACACACAGCTGTGCCAGCACAGTCTGGGCACGAGCAGGGCTCTGGGGCCAGGCGGGCACAGCCGTGCAGCCGAGGGGCACCCCTTTCTCTGCCCCTTCCTGCGTGACCTTCTCCCTGTGCCAGGGTCACTATGGGCCCGCGGGGTGGGAGGGGCTGTGTGTGGGAGGCGGGCGGGGGGTGGTGAAACCGCGGACCGGAGGCCCCGGCCGGCCGGGGGGTTTGTGGCACCGGGAGCCAGCCCCCCAAAGGCCTCGGCGTCTCTGCCACGTGGGGCTGCTCCACAGAGCCACTCAGCGGGGTCAGCGGGTCAGCAGGTCAGCGGGTCAGCGGGGTCAGCGGGTCAGGAGGAATGGCTGCCGGGCGGCGGAGCTGATTCATCACTCTGGGTGCGTCAGCGCGGATCCAGGCGGCACCTGGGGGGTGACCCACTCGCCCTGGGGGAGGGTGGGCTGCCCAGCCCGGAGCTCAGGCTGAGCCCGGCCTCCCAGCCTGTGCTGCTTGGGGCGGTGGGACCCTGGGCCTCGGCTCCGGGCTGTGAGAGGGACCGTGGCCCTGCTTCTCCGGGGGCCCGGAGGATGGAAGCACGATCTTGGGGAGAGCCCGGGGACCCCAGGAGTGTGTGTGAGGGTCATACCAGGGGAGGCTTGCAGGCTCGTAGGGGTGGGCACCATAGACAGGGGCTGGGGAGGGATGGGCCAGTTCTGGCCTCAGAGATCCCCTGGCTGCAGCCTGGAGGAGAGCAGGAGAGGGCGAGGCTGGAGGCAGGAAGGCTGGGAGGAGGCGCCGTTTGGGAGAGGGAGAGATGGGCCGGGGCAACAGAGCAGCCGAGGCAGGGGCGTCGGGGGATGGGAGCAGCCGGGACGCGGAACCAGTATTGTTTCGGTAACACCTGGGCACGGAGCCCGGCGAACGCCCACCCGGCCGGGGCTGGGGCATGGCCACTGCGGGGGGCCAAGCACAGGGGGCGGGGACGCGCCCGGAGGAGGTGGGCCTTGAGAGGCGCTTCCTGTTCCCGCAGCGACCCTGTCAGAAGTCTGATCACACGCTGACTGATGTGCCTGTGCTCTGGGCATGTGCCCGCCCTCCTGGGGTCCTCGGGAGGGGAGGGGGCCAGTGCCCCACCTCTGTGCTCAGCTTCCCAGCTGGCGGGGCGGGAGGAGCCTGGTCGGCTGGGAGGTCCGCTGGAGGGGGCCCAGGCCTGGGCATAGGTCTCAGAACCAGCCAGGCTCCGGGCTGCTGGGCCAGGTCCTCAGTGCGGCCAAGGCGGGGAGAGCCCAGCAACCCTCAGGGGCCCAGAGCCATGCCTCTGTCCGCGCTGTGTGCTCCCAGCCGGTCACTCAGCCTCTCTGGGCCTCAGGCTCTTCACCGTTAATGACAATAACAGCACCCGCCGTGGGGGTGTCAGCCGGCCGGCTGGCGGCGGAGGGGGCCTCGGACGCTGAGCTGGGGGAACCTCTCTTCCAGGCCAGCCCCGGCTGGGGGGCACTTCCCAGCTTAGTCCCGAGGCCTGGCACTGCCCCAGAGAAGCCCGTCCGCCCCCAGCACTGGGCCCCCGGCTCTCCGCCCACCCCCAGAAAGGGACCCCCCGGCTCCCCAGCCGCCACCTGCATCTCGGCACTTCCCAGCCATCCGGGCCCGGCATCTGTCTGTGCCAGCGACCCTTTTGGCTGCCTGGCTGGCGCTGGCCTGGGGCCAGGCCCTGGGTCTCCACAGAGGGGTCCTCTGTCTTGTTATTATTATTGCTGTTGTTATTGTTGTTATTTGCCGTGTGTAGTTGCACATACAGTGTGCGTGTCGGTTGGCCCCAGGGCTGGCCACTCCGGGGTAGCTGCAGCTGGCAGGACGGCGCCCTGGGAACTGGGTGTGTGTGTGTGCAGGTTCCCGGGCCCCCCCCCCCCGCCCCCTTGGCCTGACCGGCCCCCCTGAGCCCGCGCTTTCCCTGAGGACAGGCCCCACTCGGAGCAGAGGCGGCTCCCGCCACGCCAGGCCCTGGGCGCCGGCCCTCCGCTGCTTACACACTCCCCCGCGGGCGCGTCCACAGGCGCGGGCTCCGGCACCGAGGGCGGCCTCGCCGTGAGAGGGTGAGAACCAGCTGTGTCTCCCGCAGAGCAGGCGCCCGGCTCCGCGGTGCCACCCCCGGGTGGGCACGGCGCCCGCTCCTCTGCTGTCCCTGGTCCCTTTGCGTCCTCCGGTCGCCTGCTCTCTCGTCTGCCCCTGCCCGCCAGGAACAGGCACGGACGGACCCCCACTCCCACCCCCCTGCCACGGGCCTTGTGCAGCCTCTGTGGACGCGTCCTTGGGCGCAACTCCTGCAGGGAGGGCGATGGGCAGCAGGGGCGACCAGGGTGGGGGCGGGCAGAGCCATCCCCGGGGCCTGGCACACGCTGCGAGGCCTCAGCTCTGGGTTTGGGCACGGTCCCTGGAGGGGGGTGGAGCTGAGCCCGGAGTCAGGTGGGAGTGCCGGTCCGGGCGCGGGTAGGCGGTGTTTCCTCCATCGCTGGGTGCGGACAGCGGGCACCGGCCTTGGCGATCGCCTGTGGCCCCTGAAGATGCCCCGGTTGCCCCCTCTCTGCTCCCGGGAGCGGGGATCTGGCATGTGGAGGCCCAGCCTGTGCGTGACGGAGGCTGGTCTCCCCGTGGAGGCCCTCACTGCCCTGGGGTCCCTCTGCCGGGCTATAAAGGCTACTGCCCACTCCGGAGCCGGTCGGGGGGCAGCCCGCACCCCTCCCCTGGGCTCCCCTTCCTCTGCTGGCAGATGGTGCGAGGCGGGAGCAGGCCGGGCCGCCCTGGGGATGGAGACGCAGCGGGACCCAGCGGCGGGGCGGGGGGCTGCCAGAGAGCATCTTTCTTGTTTAAATGTACGGTTATTGATTTCAGAGGCAGGGAGACGGGAGAGAACATCTGTGATGAGACAGAAGCACGGATCGGCTGCCTCCTGCACGCCCCCCACGGGGATCCAGCCTGCAGCCCCGGCCTGAATGAGCCCGTGACCTCTTGGTTCGGGGTCGCTGCTCAGCCGCTGAGCCGGCCGGTGGGCGGGGGGAGCGCCTGTGGTTCCCAGACGCCTGTCTGGCCTCTCCTTGCCGGTCGGAAAGGTCACGTTGGACCGTTTTCCCATTTCTTGGCCAAGGCGCTGCCGCCTGCATCCGGGAGCTTCCCGGAGACAAAACAGAGGCTCATTTGTCTGGTTCACAGGCAGGTGCCAGCCCGGCCCTGTTCCCCGAGGGGGGACCCGCCCCCCAGCCACGGCCGGGGCCCAGCACACCCGGGGGCTGAGGGAGGACCACCCAGAGCGGAGCCACGGCCTCTCCCTCTCCTCAGGATCTCCCTCGGCATCGCGCACCCCCCCCCCCCCCCCGAGGCAGGGCGGGGGCCGGGGGGGCGGGAGGGGGCAGCGAGCATCACCGTCACAGGAGATGCCGCGTCGCCCGTGCTTCTGGCCTCACCTGGGCTCCGAGCTCGGCTCTCCCCTCCCTGCCCTGTGTGTGCTTCCTGAACACGGAGGCCCTCCCCCTGCGGGCATCCCCCCGAAAGACCTCCCGGGCTGTGCCCGCAGGGGGCGTCCTGACGCAGGTCCTCTCCTGGGGAGTCAGCCCGTGACACCCCCGGAGCCTGTGGACGCCAGCTCCGGCCCGCCTCACGGGTCTCCGTCTGCAGGCTGGCGGGTGCCTGCGGAGGGCGCCTGCTGGCTGTGCAGTG